CTGAATTTTTTTCTTCCTTTATTTATTTATGAAAAATTTATTATTTTCTCAGAGTAAATATTTTTTATCTTTGCAGTTTTTTTTACAAGTTTTTAAATCATTTTTTTTCAGTATTTTTTGTCTTTTCAATTTTTTGCAAGTTTTTAAATTTATTTTCTATTTATTATTTTTTCATTTATTAATATTATTTTTTTTTTCGTTTATTTATTTTTCGTAAATTTATTTCATCACTAACGATTAAAGAAAAAATAAAAAAATTGAATTTTTTATTTAATTTAAAATTTTTTTAATTTAATTTTAATTTTATTTATCAAATATTTTATTTTTTCTTTTATTTTTACTTTTATTCTCAAAAATTTTTTTTTTATTTCAAAATCCACTAATTTTCTTTGCCTACAAAAATTATTTTTTTCTAGAAAACATTATTTTACTATTACTTGAAAAAAAATGAGAAAATTTGTAAATTAAAAAAGAAATTGCATTTTGCATCCACTAATTTTTGTTTGCCTATTAAAAATTATTTTTCTCGAAATATTATTTACTGCAATTGGTTAGAGAAAAAAATTACAAAATTCGCCAAAATTTGTAAACTGAAAAAATAAATTACATTTTGCATTCATAAAAAAAATTATTTTTTTAGGAAAAGAAAATTTTTTTTTTTCCTTCAAAAATTATTTTTCCAAAAACGTTATTTACAGTAATTTGTAAAAAAAAATTACAAAATTTGCCAAATTTGAAAATTAAAAAACTGCAGCCAAAATTTACAAAAATAATTTTTCTAGAAATAATATTCGCTGTAATTTGTAAAAAAAACATTCCCAAAATTAGACAAATTCGTAAATTCAAATATTTAATTGCTAAAATATTAAAAAAGAAATTTTTTTTTATCACTACGTCAGTGTTGGTAGAAAAGAGAAAAAAATTTTACGTAATCCGTGTTCACAGTTTAATTCACAATATTGTCTTGTCTATTAATAACGAAAAATATTCGTAACAAAATTGTACAATGAAAGCAAAAGCGGAAAAATTGCATAATGTGTGTTTGGCATCACCGTTACAATATAGTTTGTATAGACGCTTTTTACTCGTGTGTTATTATCGCCTGTTTTTATTTTTTTTCCCCTTGGTGTTTTTTTTTCTCTCTCTATATTATAATAATCTCTCTAAAACCGCATGCTTTTGAAAATGTTTTGACTTAGTGTTCGCTTTCCGTCTGCGTGCGTTTCTAAATTTAGTTCCAAGAGCTTCTTTTTTTTGGGGGGTGGTATAGAGGTGTGTATATTTTAGTAATGACATTTACAGAACCTCTTTGTTGTGGCCAGCTTCACAAATGCTGGTATGTGACCTGCCAATTGATTTTACATACATACTTTTAATACTTGACATAGATTTTCTTAAACAGGTGCAACTCTAGTCAAATTTGTTTACTAAAAAATAATAGTTTTGCTAGAAGACCATTTTTTTAATAGAAAAAAGATTTTTTTTAATAGAGTAGAAAATAATTTTCATTCTAGAGACTAATTTTTTTACTAGAAACTGAATTTTCTTACTAGAAAATAATTTTTCTTACTAGAAAATAATTTTTTTTACTAGAAAATAATTTTTTTTACTAGAAAATAATTTCCATTTTAGAAACTAATTTTCTTAATTGAAAATAATTTTTTTACTATAGAAAATGAATATTTTAATAGAGAATAAATAATTTACTGTAGAATAGAAAACAATTTTCATTTTAGAAAATACTTTTTTTACTAGAAAATAAATATTTTACTATAGACAGAAACTAATTTTTTTTACTAGAAAATAAATATTTTATTTGAAAACAAATATTTTACTAGAAAATAAATATTTTACTAGAAAATAAATATTTTACTAGACTAGAAAATAATTTTCATTCTCGAAACTAATTTTTTTAGTAAAAAATAATTGTTTTACTATAAAATAATTTTTTACTACAAAATATTATTACAATTTTACAAATTTTTTAGTAAAAAAATGATTTCCTAGGAAAAAATTTATTCCGTAGTAAAAACATAATTTTCTAGTATGAAAATACTATTCTAGTAAAATAACTTTTACTTGAAAATAATTTTTATTACTAGAAAAAAATTGTTTTACCGGAAAATAATTTATTTTACTTGAAAATAATTTTCATACTAGAAAAAAAATTGTTTTACTAGAAAATAAATATTTTACTATAGACTGAAAATAATTTTCATCGTAGAAACTATTTTTTTTAGTAGAAAATAATTTTTTGAACAACTAATTAAATATTTTACTACTGTCTGAAAATAATTTTCATTTTAGAAACTAATTTTTTTAGTAGAAAATAATTTTTTTACTCGAAAATATATATTTTGCTATTGACTGAAAATAATTTTCATTTTAGAAACTAATTTTCATTCTAGAAAATACTAGAAAATAATTTTTTTACTACAAAATAATTTTACAAATTACATATTTCTTAGTAAAATAAATTATTTTGTAGGAAAAACACAATTTTCTAGTACAAACTGATTTTTTTACTACAACATAATTTTTTTACTCAAAAGTTTGTGATTGAAAATTTATTTTGTAGTAAAAAATAATTTTCTAGTAAAAAAATTTTGAATTGCAAAAATATTTTCTAGTAAAAATAGTATTTTCTAGTAAAAATTAATATTTTCTAGTAGGAAAATTATTTTCTTTTCTAGTAATAAAATAATTTTTTAGCAATAAAATAATTGTTTAGTGAATTAATTTGTTTTTTAGTATGAAAATTATTTTCTAATGTCTAGTAAAAAAATAATTTTGTAGTAAAAAAATAATTTTGCAACAAAAAAATAATTTTGTAGCAATTAAATAATTTTTTAGTGAAAAAATAATTTTTTAGTTATAAAAATTCGTGTCCAGTATGAAAATTATTTTCTAGTCTAGTAAAAAAATTGTTTTACTAAAAAATAATTTTTTTACCAAAAAATAAAAAAATTGTAACAAAAATCGACATTGTTTTCTGTAAATAAACTACACGTGTGAGTAAGAAAGTGAGCGAGAGTGGGAGAGAGAAGTCGTTACGATTTTCGACTCTTTTATCCGCGAAATCTCTGCTTTTGTAATAATACGGTTTTAGAGTTTGAATACAAAATGCCGTGTGTCCCTCTTGGCAAAATTATTTCTCTAACGCAATAGAAAATTAGTTGCTCGGAATAACATCTTTGAGTTAAATGTCAAAAAGAAAATAAAATTTAGTGTCGCGGAAAATTGTTTTTTATTGAACATAATTATTTATTTTCGCTTTAAATTGTCTCATTTTCGACAGTTTAAAATTTTATAATTAATTTTCTATTTTCGTTTCCTATCTCTCTCTCTCTCACACTTTTCCTGACTCTCAATTTTGATTTCACGTTTCAAATGCGGCTAAAACGATATCGTTTGGCAAAGGAAAATTTATTTTCGAGAATGACAATCAAAGAATTCGATTTATTTTTTACAAAATTTATCACATTCTTTGTTTTTTTATTGAATTTTACATTCGTGTTTCTTACAATTCTCATTCATTCGTCAAATGGAATTTTCGAATTTTTCATTCTCTCAAGGATATTTCAATTGAATTTCACGTCAATTATTTGTGTTGGTATAAAGTTTTTTTGTTATTAATTTTATTTTTTAATTTCTTTTGGTGTTTTTGTAAATGTTGATTTTTTTATGAATTGTTTGATTTATTGTTTAAATTCATTGGAAAAAAATTTGAAAAAGCAAAAATTTATTCTTTTTTTTATTCAAATTGGTTAATTTATTTTTGTTCTATTTTATCCATTTTTTTATTTTACAAATTTCAATTCAATTCAAATTGGGAAATTTGTTTTTATTTTATTTTATTTTATAAAATTCAATTCATTTCAATTCAATTTAATTTGGAATTTTTTAACTTGGTTTAATTTTATTTAATAATTTAATTTACAAAAATTAATTTAATTTAAATGGGGAAATTTATACTCCTTTTGAAAACGAGATTTTTTCCGACATGAAAAAATTGAACAATAAAAATAAACAGAAATTGTTTAAAAACAAATTATAGTAGTAACAAAAAATTGAAATTAATCAAAAAAAATTTATTCAGAAGAATTTAAAAATTAATTTCGCCTCGCTTTAGACATTCTTGTTAAGAGATTTAATTAATCTGTCACACCATCTTGTGTCAATTATATCACTCGCGTGTTTTACGTGCAATTTCAATTTGGCCTTCATTCTTTTAATGTTTCTCTCTCTCATATTGTTTAATGAAAGTGATTGAAATTACATTTTCACTGTAAAATTACTTTCAAAATAAGGGCCTTAATAAAAAAAATTTCCCTCTTTTGAATAAAAAATTACATTTTTCACAAAAATCTGTAGAAAATAATTAAATTTAAAAAAAATAGTTTCAAATTTCTTCTTTTTTGAAATTAATTAAAATTAATCATTTACTCCACTAATTAAATTAATTATGTTACAAAATTAAATTAAAAATCTCAAAAAGTCGAATTATTGTATTTTTTCCCCGTTTGAAAAATATTTATACCATTTTTTTTTTAAATTAGAGAAATTAAGTCTAATTTACGGTTTTTTTACATTTTGAAAACTTCTACATTTTTTCGGTTTAAATTAATAATTAATTAATTAATCAATTAAATTAATCAATTTTTTCCGTAATTTTTACTGCGTCAATAAATTGACTCTGCAATAGCTTAATAAACTCAAAAAGTCGGATTCATTTTTTTTTTCATATTTTGAAAAATATTTTCTACATTTTTTTGTGAAAATATAAAAATTGTCCTCTGTTAATTAAAATCCTATTAATTAATTAATTGTTAAAAATTCTACGTAAATGAAATTTTAATTATCCATTAATTCTTTTTTTTTCTTTATTAAAATTGTTTGATCAACAGGACGATCGACAAAAAAAAAATTTGCTTTTTCTTTTAAATGAAAAAATATTTTTTAAAAATTGTTTTTTAATTAAAAAATAATTTTTTTTACAGGGCGAACTGTCGGACGGGTGTGTTAGTGAAGATGGTTGCCTTCAGGGCGATCTCGAGGGTGAGGGGAAGCAAGTTTTGGTGGGAATATGTGCTATGGCCAAAAAATCTCAAAGTAAACCGATGAAGGAAATTTTAACTCGTCTCGAGGAATTTGAATACATCAAAATTATTGTTTTCGCCGAGGACGTTATTCTGAAGGTAATAATCAACTTTTTTACAAAAAAGAAAAAAAAAGGAAAAAAAATACTTTTCAAAAATTTATTTATTTATTTATAAATAAATATACGGGGAAAAAAATGAGAAAAATGTGCAATTATCAACCGTTATTAAGAAAAATTAAATTAAAATCCGTTATTTATTTATAAATTAATAAATAAATTAAATAAATTAATAATTCATAGAAGTAATTATTGGACTTGAAAAATTAATTAATTTTCTTGTTTTTCTTTTTCAGGAACCTGTAGAAAATTGGCCTATTGTCGACTGTCTAATCAGCTTTCACAGCAAAGGCTTCCCCTTGGAGAAGGCAATTAGTTACGCAAATCTTAGAAATCCTTTTATTATCAATAATCTTCCAATGCAATATGATATTCAGGTAAAAGTAATAATCTCTTTTTATTCAATGAATCCAATTTTTGAGCAGAAAAATTATATTTTCATCAAAATTTTGATTTTTTGATTTCATCAAAAGAATGTAATAATTTAAACATAATTTCCAAAAAAAAAAACAAAAAGCATTTAATTAAATGAAATTTATTAACCGAAAATAAAATTTTCAATCAAAATACAAAAGCATTTAATTAAATGAAATTAATTAACCAAAAAGTAAAATTGCCAATAATTATTTTTCAGGATCGCAGAAGGGTTTATGCCATTTTGGAAAGTGAAGGCATCGAAATACCTCGATATGCAGTTCTCGATAGAGATTCACCTGATCCGAAACGTAAATAAAATAATTAAATAAAGATGATAAAATTAAAAAAAAAAATTAAAAAAAAATTAAAAAATTAAATTGCGATATACTTGGAAGTTAAAAATAAATATAAATTAATTATTAATTATTAATCAATCTTTAATGTCCGAGAAATATTAATTATAATGAGGGAAAATAAACTAAAACTATTTGTCCGAATTTTTTCGTTTCTTTTCCTTCACTGAATTATTAATATTAATTAATTAATTTTAATTGATTGAAATTAATTAATAAATTCAATTTAATTAATTTTGAATATGAAATTTCAGATCACGAATTGGTTGAATCTGAAGATCATGTCGAAGTAAATGGGGTCACGTTCAATAAGCCCTTTGTAGAGAAACCAGTGTCAGCCGAAGATCACAATATTTATATTTATTATCCAACCTCAGCAGGTGGAGGGAGTCAAAGATTATTTAGAAAGGTATCTTTATCAAATTTTCACTATTTTCTTTTATTTACTAAGTATATTAATTTCTCGACCTACTTCAATTGAAAAAACTTCAATTCTATCTCCAAAATCTTGCTCCAATTTTGTTATCAGAATTTTATCAATTCGATAAACAATCAAAATTCAGTCACTTTAATTTAGACGATTTAGCCTAAAGTCTTAAATTTTAATTTAATTATTTAGTCGATTTAAAAAAATTCACAAAAATTTGATTATTTATTATACAGATTTTTTCCCTATTTCCATAAAAATTAATAAAATAATAATGGAATATTGTAAATAAATAATTAAATTCTTCAACAAAACGATTCTATTTAAAAAGAATTGCTAAAAGTCAAAAAATAAAATTCTTTACAATAAATTTTGATGACATTTTTGACAAAATTTCCAATTGTTTCAATTTTTTAAAAGAATTTTCGGAAATTTAACTATTTTCGAATAATTACAATCTTTCAAATACCTTATTTTTACAGAATTTTCAATTTAAAATTTAAATTCTACAAAAATTGGATAATTTTCATTAAATAAATATTTAAATATCTTTTACTTACTTTCCAATAGGAATTAAAATTTTCAATAATTTCAATGTAAAATCTTTTGAAATTTTTTTCTGAAAATTCCTACCAAATTACGCTTCAAATATTTCATTATTATTTAAAATTTGAACTTAAATTAATATTTGAATCAATTCTTATTAGAAAATTCTTTGAGAATTCAATTATTTTGAATTATTTTGAATTATTGAATTTTTGCAAAGAATTATATTAATTTCTTTGAATATTTAAATTCCTTTGGAAAAATTATAGTATTTTTGAAAATAATTGAAATCCTGGGAAGAATTTTATAATTTATGAAAATGATTGAAATTTTGTAAATAATTGTATTAATTTCTTTAAATATTTGAATTCCTAAGGAAAAATTATAATATTTTTGTAAATAATTGAATTTTTTCGAAGAATTTTTGATTAAAAATTTTGGAAATAATTGAATTTTTTCCAGGAAAAAAAATTGTTTCTTAAAACAATTGTATTAAAAATAATTTTGATTTATGTAAACAAAATTCATTAAAATTCTAAAAAATAATTGATTTCTTTTGGAAAATTTTGTCCAAATTTATCTAAATAATTGAATTATTTCGAGAAAAATAAAACAGTATAGATATTGAAAATAATTAAATTGCTGCGAGAAAATTTTTTTAAAAATATTTGAAAATAAATAAATTTTCTCAAAGAACTTTATTCAAGTTTTTAAAAAATAATTTAATTATTTCGAGGAATTTAATAAAAATTAAATTAAAAATAATTGGATTTTTTCAACAAATTTTATCAATATTTCGGAAAATAATTGATTTATTTCGAAAAACTTTATTAAATTTGAATTAAAAATAATTGAAATCCATTGAAAATTTTATTATCTATGAAAGAAATTGAATATTTTTTCCAAGAATAAACAAATTTTATCAAAATTTTAAAAAGTAATTGATTTCTTTTGGAAAGTTTTGTCCAAATTTGTCTGTAAATAATTTAATTGTTTCGAGAAAGTTTAATAAAATTATAGATATTGAAAATAATTATTGAATTCCTCGAGAAAAATTTTTTGAAAATGTTTGATGATAAATAAATACGGTATCGAAAAATTTTATGAAATTTGTATTTAGAATACTTGAATTCTCGTCAAAATTTTATTACTTATGGATATAAAATTGAAATCCTGCGAAGAATTTTATAATTTTTGAAAATAATTGAATTTTTGCACAGAATTATATTAATTTTTTTTTAAATATTTGAATTCTTAAGGAAAAATTTTATTAAATTAGTAGATATTGAAAATAATTGAATTTCTTTCGAAGAATTTTATTATTTTATTATTGAAAATAATTGAATGATAAAAAATAAAATATTCTATCCTTCAGAAGGTAAAAGACGAGTATATAAATAAATAAAATAAAATTAATAACGATTTTGATTTGGAATTTAAAATTTTCAGATAGGAAGTCGCAGTAGTGTATATTCGTTAGAATCTCGAGTTCGCAAGACTGGATCGTATATTTATGAGGATTTTATGCCCACCGATGGTACAGATGTTAAAGTTTATACAGTGGGGCCAGATTACGCTCACGCTGAGGCGAGAAAAAGTCCAGCACTCGATGGAAAAGTCGAGAGAGATTCCGAGGGCAAGGAAATTCGCTATCCAGTTATTTTGAGTAATGTGGAAAAACTCATAAGCAGAAAAGTTTGTTTGGCCTTCAAACAGACTGTCTGCGGATTTGATCTCCTCAGGTGCATAAAAGAAAATAATTCCTAAAATCGTTAGACTTTTATTAGTTTTTTTGTAATTAATTTATTTGGATTTAATTTTTATTTATTTGAAATTTAATTTCCAGAGCCAATGGAAAGTCGTTTGTTTGTGATGTTAATGGATTCAGTTTCGTGAAGAATTCAAATAAATATTACGACGATTGCGCGAAAATATTGGGGAATATGATTCTTCGGGAACTCGCGCCAACGTTACACATTCCTTGGAGTGTTCCTTTTCAATTGGACGATCCTCCAATTGTTCCGACAACATTCGGCAAAATGTAATTTTAATTCTTTTAATTAATTAGTAATTAAATATTAAAATTATTTTTTTCATTCTTCGTTACCTGGAAAATTAAAAGTTATCAACTAATGAATTTAAATATTTTAAATACGAAAGTTCAAATTATTACTAAGCAATAATTTTTTTAAGGATGGAATTAAGATGTGTGGTGGCGGTTATAAGGCACGGCGACAGAACTCCGAAGCAAAAAATGAAAGTCGAAGTTCGACATCCCAAGTGAGTGATAAATTTACAAAAATTAATTAATTGATAATTAATTTTGAATAGAAAAAACGAAGTAAATAATTTGTAATTTTCCTCAGGTTTTTTGAAATATTTGCCAAATACGATGGTTATAAGCACGGACACGTGAAACTAAAACGGCCTAAGCAATTACAAGAAATTTTGGACACAGCTCGAAGTTTATTGGCCGAAATACAACATCGAGCTGCTAGTTCTGAACTCGAGGAGAAACAGGGAAAACTCGAGCAATTGAAGAACGTATTAGAAATGTAATTAAAAAAATCACATTTATTTTATTTATAATATTAATTGGTATAAAATATTATTAAATACTTATTTATATTTTTTTATTTTATTTTTATAACATTTTTAAAAATTTCTTATTATAATAATATAATAATTTAATCTTTTTCAGAATTTTTATTAAAATCGTATTGACAATAATTAAATTCCTCTGAATTGAATTCTTATAAAAAATTCTATCAAATGTTTTGAGTTAATAATTGAATTCTTTCGACGAATTTCCTTAAAACTGTGTTGAAAATAATTGAATTCCTAGGAAGAATTTTATTAATTATGAAAATAATTTTATCAACATTTTTCAAATTAATCAAGTTTTTGTGACGAATTTAATTAAAATTCTTAATTAAATTCTTGCGAAAATTTTTTAAAAATTATGAAAATAATTGAAATCTTGGTAAGAATTTTATTAAAATTTTTCAAAATAATTGAATCTTTTTCAGGAATTTAATTAAACTTGTCTTGAAAATATTTTAATTCTCATAAAGAATTTAATCAAAATTTTGCAAAATAAATAATTGAACTTTGCGAAGAATTTTATGAAATTTTTGAAAATAATTAAATTTATTAATTTAATTATTTTCAAAAATTTCAATTATTATTGAATTCTTTCAACAAATTTAATTAAAATTGGGTTGAAAATAATAGAATTTCTGCAAAGTATTTTATTATATAGAAAAAAATATTTCAATTCTTAACAAAGAATTTCATTAACAATGTAAAGAATAATAAATAATAATTCATTAGTTAATAAGTGGATTTTAAAAATTTTCGAATCAGAAATTATTTAAAGATCAGAGTTGATATTTAAAACGAAACAAAAATTTGCAATTAAATAAATATACAAAAGAATTATTGAATATAAAATTGTAAAGTAACTAAAAAAAATTTCTTTTCCATTGTTTCAGGTACGGGCATTTTTCAGGAATTAATCGTAAGGTGCAAATGAAATACCAACCCCGCGGAAGGCCGAGAGGTAGTTCCTCGGATGATGGTAGTGGTATAATTCGAAGTTTGTTGAGGACTTTATTTACTTAATATTTTTTTTGTCAACAATTCAAATGAAATATTATTAATTAAAATTCATCGAATTTTTTAGAATGATAATATTAAAAAATCTCTTTTTTTTACTCTCTTTTTAAGATCGACTTGGAGAACCGTCTCTAGTTTTGATTTTAAAATGGGGTGGTGAATTGACACCAGCCGGTAGAATTCAAGCTGAGGAATTAGGCAGAATATTTCGCTGCATGTATCCTGGCGGTCAAGGTAGACATCTTAGTGGTTCGTATCTTTTGTTCTTTTTTCCCCTTTTTTTCTTACTAGCAGATATGAATACATTTTCTTTCTTCTACTTAAATAATAATAGTAATAAGCGAATTATTTTTTTTTCTCTAAATTTCTGATTTCAACGCTCTTGGGGCTCGACGACCGAATGGACCGAATGAAAAAAAAAATTTTAGTCTGTATTGTTTAAAAGAATTTATCAATAATTGGTGTTTAATCCTTTAATTCCTCCGAGAGGAGAAAAATTTGAATTTCTCTCTAGGAAAAATTTCCTCTTTTCTGATTGCATTGTCTGAACCGTTTTTTTTTAATTGTAAAATATTTTGTTATTTTTTTTTAATAATCCGTTTTTAAAAATTGTTAATATTTAATAATGTCTTAATGTTCTATTTCCTGATGATTGAATTTTTTTGGTAGAACCGTTCACTAATTATTTGTTTATTTACTATTGAATTGGTGTGATTCATAGATAATTTTTAAATATTATTTCAGAGGATGACACTGAGATGTTACCAAATCACGGTAACTTTTTATTTTGAATGGACGCTTTTTAGTAGCTGTAGATAAATGTCTGCCAGAATTTCACGCCCAATAATTGATACTGGAAATTGAAGAAATTGCGAAAAGTCGAATTCAATATTTTATTTGCTATTCGAATTTCACTATTTTAAATATTTTTAATTCAATATTTAAAATTAATATTTTTGATTCCAAAATTTAAAATCAATATTTTTATTTTCAGTTTTTATGAATTATTATTTATTAATTTTTCTTTTTACGAATTAATATTTATTAATTTTCGTTTTTATGAATGAATATTATTTATTTTCGTTTTTATAAATAAACAGAAACAATGTTTTTTTATTTTTTTTCGTACAAAAGAAATTCTAGATTCCTTTTTAGAAAAAATTAAGCTTAAATCAAAATTAATTTAACGCTAATAAAATATAGAATTTTTCAATTTCTACATTTTTTAAATAATTTTTTCAATTCCCAGTATTTAATATAAAAAAAAAATTCGTCCGCAGATCTTAACAGTTTGCTTTGAAAATTGAGTCCGAAAAAAAGTTATTTTATTCAAAAGTAAACTGATTAAATATTAAGATCAGAACCTAAAAAGTGTTAAACAGCAAAGTCAGAAAAGGAAAATTCTCTTTTACTCTATTTCAAAAGGAAAAAAAAAAGAATTTTCAATCTGACGACGCTAAATGTAGTTCAATGTGATCATCATTTTTTTATATCAATTCTCCAAATGCTTGTTGTTCGTGTATTAGTGTGACTGATTTTTTTCTAACTGTATTAAATATTTTTACTAGAAATTAAATATTAATCATTTCATCATATTTTGTAAATTCATTAAAATCAACAACATAGTCACAAATCACGAGCATTTATTATTTAATTAAATGTAAAAATCAAATTTTCAGTCACATCACATATCGATTTGGATCAGAATCAATTTAAATTAAAGTAGTAATTAAATAAATTAATAATTTTATTTTATTTTCAATTTATTTATTCATTTATTTATTAATTCGTTAATTAATTAATTCATTAAATTATTAATTTATTTATTATTTAATTAATTTATTAATTCCTTACTTCTTTATTTTGATTATTAATTCACTAAATTTTTAATTAGTTTATTTATTTATTTGCATACATTCAACAAAGTTAATAATTTAATTAATTTAATTAATAACCACGTTTCTTAAAATTCTCCATTTTCGAAGAAAATTTAGAAGAAATTTTTAATTAGTTTATTTATTTATTTTTATTTATTTATTCGCATACATTTAATTAATTTAATTAATAACCACTTTAATTAAAATTCTCCATTTCTCCATTTTCGAAGAAAATTTAGAGGAGAAGAAAATTAATAATTCACGATTCGTAGGATAATTAAGGTACTTAATATAAAATTACTAATTTCGAAAAATCATTCCATCGTCCATTCATCAAAAAGTGTCTACTTTTCTATTCTAATTTGACATTCGCATATCTGTTGGTTCTAGAAATTCAAAAATGGAAACACAAACAGTGCACAGACAATAATTTAATAATGTTCGGCACGAAAAAGAAAAACGTGTTGTGTCGAAAGAAAAAAAAGGCACTGTTTATGTCCTAGTGAATGAAATTATTTAATTTTGTTTCATCATAAAATTAATTTTCATTCAGGTGAATACGCCGGTGCGCAGGGACTTGGCCTTCTCAGATTACATTCAACATTCCGACACGATTTGAAAATTTACGCCAGTGATGAGGGTAGAGTTCAAATGACCGCGGCCGCTTTCGCCAAAGGATTACTCGCCCTGGAAGGAGAGCTCACTCCAATTTTGGTGCAAATGGTCAAGAGTGCAAACACCAACGGATTATTGGATAATGATTGTGATAGTAGCAAATATCAGAATTTGTACGTTCAATTTTTCAAATTTCTTCGAAATTAATTTTCAAATATCTATATTAATAATTGTTGTATTCCGGGTTTTTTAACGCAGTTGGAATTTAGTTGTTGTTTGCTTTTTTGTTTTCTAATTTATTTAATAATTTTTCTTTTTAAATTTTTTCAACTAGCAAATGTTACGCGCGGAACGTGACATTAAATTTATTATTCTTATGCAAATTACAAAATTTTTTATTTACAAATTTCAATTTTTGAAAAAAAAATTTTTTTAATTTAAAAAATCAATTATTTTTAAAAAAATTTTGATACAATTTCACGAAAGAATTTAATCATCTAAAATTTTAATAAATCCATTGAAACAATTCAATTATTTTTAAAAATAGTAAAGTTTATGCGAAAATTGAAATATTTTAAATAAAATTTCACAAAAGAATTCAATTTTTTTCTTAATTCGTTATAAAATTTATAATAAAAATTCAATTATTTTCTAAAATAATAATAATAAATTCTTTAAAACACTTTTCAATTATTTTTTTCAATTCCTTGCAAAAATGAAAAAAAAATGATGATAATTGAATTTTTAGGAAGAATTTTATTAAAAATTTTTTGAAAATAATTGAAATCTTCAAAAGAATTTTATTTTTTATGAAAATAATTGAATTTTTAGGAAGAATTTTATTTTGAAAATAATTTAAATACTCCGAAGAATTTTATTATTTAAGAAAATAATTGAAATCTGCAAAAGAATTTTACTTTTTATAAAGATAATTGAATTTTTAGGAAAAAAAATTTTGAAAAAAATTGAAATTCTCCAAAGAATTTTATTAATAATAAAAATAATTGAAATCTTCCAAAGAATTTTATTTTTTATAATGATAATAATTGAATTCTTGCGAAGAATTTTATTAAAATCTTTGAAAATAATTGAATTCTTTTGAGAAATATTAAAATTGTATTAAAAATAATTGAATTTCTAAAAAGATTTTTATTATTTATTAAAAATTAATTAAATTCTTGCGAACAATTTTATGAAAATTATTAAAAAGAATTGATTTGTTTCGTTGAATTATTAAATTGAAGTTTTTAAAAATAATTAAGTTCTTTCGAGAAATCTAATTAAAATTAATATTAAAATTGAACTAGTTATTAGTTACAGCTATTATTAAATTTGAATTCTAATTTTATTTATAATAAAATATTATTTTTAGGGTGAAGACACGTCTGCATGAATTACTCCAACAAGATAAAGAATTTACTCGGGAAGATAGAGAAGAAATAAATCCTAGCAATGCTCTCAGTATTAATGCTGCGTTAGATTTTGTGAAGAATCCTGTAAAATGTTGTCAACATGTTCAGACTCTCATTCAGAAGCTAATGGATATTGTTAGAATTAAAAAGGACGATCCTAAAACAAAAGGTTTGAACTCTTGTTTTTAGAATTATAAATCAAAATTTTCATTTTATGATATGACTATTATAAATAAATTAATTTTAATTTTTCTAAATCATTTAAAGCTTTTTTTTATTATTTTAATTTAATGAATTAAATAATTAGTTTTTTTTTTACTTTTAGGAAAAGGTAAATTTAATTTCACTATTTTAATTAAATTTTAATTTATTTCAATTATTTTAATGATTGAATTTCAATTGACTAAAAATTGACTGAATTTAATTTAATTGATTACTATTATAGTTTTGTTGTTCTTATATTTTTATTTACTATTTTAATATTTTATTTAGGTTTTAATTTTGTTAAACTGTTTGAATTAAATTAACGAATTGTATTTTCGATTGTTTTTTTCTAAATAGATGCAATTCTCTATCACGGCGAAACGTGGGAATTGATGGGCAGACGTTGGGGCAAAATTGAAAAAGATTTCTGCACAAAGCATAAGCGATTTGATATTTCAAAAATTCCGGACATTTACGACTGTATAAAGTATGATTTACAGCATAATAATCACACTTTACAGTTCGAGCAAGCCGAGGAATTGTATATTTACGCTAAATATCTCGCCGACATTGTTATACCTCAGGTAATTAGCAATTTATTATTTTCCTTTTTTTTAATGAGGTATTTATTTATTTTAATATATAAAATTAAAAAAATATTTCATCAAATTTGATAAAAAAAAAGTATCTCTGAATTTTTTTTTATTCTTTTCTCTGTTATATCTAAAATGATTGTAACTATTACTTTTTTTGCAGGAATATGGATTGACAGTACAAGAAAAGCTCACTATTGGTCAAGGAATTTGCACGCCACTTTTGAAAAAAATTAGAGCTGATCTTCAGCGAAATATTGAAGAGTCAGGCGAAGAGTCTGTCAACAGACTCAATCCAAGGTAGAGAAAATTGATAAATTCTTTATATTTAATTCAAAATTAAATTTAATTTAATTAAATTAATTCTATACTAGTAATTGTTGTATTTCTATGAAGTTTTATCCAAATTTTTAATAATAATTGAATTTCTGCGAAGAATGTTATAATTAACATTTTTTTAAGAATATAATTCAATTCTTTGGAGAAATTTTATTACAATCTTTTTAAATAATTAAATTCTTTCAAAAATGTTATTAATTATGAAAATAATTAAAATCTTGGTAAGAAATTTATTAAAATTAATTACAAAAATAAGTAAATTCTTATACAGAATTTTATCTAAATTTTTCAAAATAATTGAATTTCTGCGAAGAATATTATCAAATTTTCAATTCAATTTTTTTTAAAGTATTTGAATTCTTATAAAAAATTTTATCAAAACTTTTGAATTAATAATTGTAAGTATTTCAATTCTCATAAAGAATTTAATCAAAATTTTACAAAATAATTGAATTTTTGCGAAGAATATTATCAAATTTTCAAAATTAAATTTACAATTTATTTGAATTGAAGGCAATTAAAAAATTTAATTTAATTCAATTCAATTGAATCAGGATTATAAATATAGTTAAAAAATAATTCTTTTCAGATACTCTCATGGAGTTTCAAGTCCAGGACGACACGTGAGGACGAGACTTTATTTTACCAGCGAAAGTCACGTTCATTCTTTACTAACAGTTCTTCGCTACGGAGGCTTGCTCGATGTGAGTTTAAATTAAGAAAAAAAAAATTTTTTAATATATTAAACACTTTTAATATTTAATAAATAAAATATATTTATTTTTGAAACTTGAGTAAATTAAAATATAATTACATAAACAAAATACAAAATATAAAAAAAAAATGAAATAGATTTTTTTTCTAAGTTTTCAAAAAATTTTCGTTCTAAATGTTTTGTTTCAATTTAATTTTTAAAACTAATAAAATTCCAATTCAGTATTTTTAAAGCTTCTTAAATAATAACAGAAATTAACTAATTTCTTTTGAATAAAAAATTATAATTTAATTTGTAAATTTACATAAAAATACATAGTTTCAATAAATTATTCGAGAAAAAACTAATTTCATTAATATTATAAATAAATATTTTTCTATATAATAATTATATTTCAATCGAATTATTTAATTATAATTAACTAAATGAAATTAATCGAAAATTGAAGTTGATATTTGAAAGTAAATTAATTAAATTGATTTAAATTGATTAAATTAATTGCTGCTATTTATAAATAATTTGAGACAAATAATAAAATAGATTGAATTTTGAAATTTTAAATTTTTCAAGGTGGTGAAGGACGAACAGTGGAGGCGAGCAATGGAATACGTCAGCATGGTTTCAGAATTAAATTACATGTCACAGATTGTTGTGATGCTTTACGAGGATCCAACCAAGGATCCATGCAGCGAAGAAAGATTTCATGTTGAATTGCATTTTAGTCCGGGGGTCAATTGTTGTGTACAGAAAAATTTGCCCCCTGGTCCAGGGTTTAGGCCACATTCACGCAATGAAAGTAGCCACAATCTTGTAAGAAAACTGAAATTGGTACTTATTATTTTGATTTTATTTTTATCTATTATATCTATTAACATTGACTAACGTTTTTTCTGACTCATTTAACAACTTTCAAATGGAAAAAGGGCCTAATTTTTAATTTCTACTAATACATTCAATATTTTTAAATTTAAATGTTATTTAAAATTATATTTTTATATTTTCTGGTTTTTTTTTTTGTAAATTTTTGATAAATTTCTTTTTCATTTTTGCATTTTTGTATCTTTTGAATATTTTACATCTTTTGGATATTTTATAATTTATACCTTTTGTATATTTCACACGTTTTGAAAATTTTATACCTTTTGTATTTTATATATTTTATATTTTTTATATTATTTAGCTAGTTTACACCTTTTCCATACTTTTTACCTTTTATATATTTTGTACCTTCTGAATATTTTTACTCTTTATTTTTTTTACCTCCCATATAATTATTTATATCTACTTTTTATTTTTATAATTTATATTTATTTTTTGTTTACTTTTGTTTATGTTCAATTATTTATATTTATTTATTTGCAAAGATTTATTTATATTTGCTTATTTATATTTTTTATTAAAAAATAAATATTTTACTTATTTAATTGTATTTATTTCTTTGAAGAGATGAAATTATTTATTATTTATTTATTTAACGAGAATAGAAAGTTAGTAGAAACAAAATTCTCAAATTCTTTTCCTTAATTACTTTATATTTTCTTCAATTTCCTCTTTTAATTCAGTTTCGATTAATTAATTTCTGTGACACCTAGGGCGAGACAAGTTCAAATCAGGATAATGCATCGCAATGCAGTACGCGAATTGAAGAGGAGGATTCTGAATTGGGAGTTTTGGAGGATGATTCAGCAAACAATGAACATCACTGTGTGAGTATATTTATACACAATTTACAAAATAAAATAAGTGGAATTGATAAATTATGAATTTTAAATTTTCAGGAGTAATTAATTAATTTTAAAAAAATGTAAAACTTTTTTCATAGAATATTACACCACCATTGATGGAAATCGATTCCGTCGATGCTAATTTGGATAGTCCAACAACTGCGAGTAGAAATATTGATATGATGGATTTGGATGCCGCTTTAATGGATGAACCATACGACAGTGGATTTTTGCAAAGTTCTGCGCCAATTCCAATCAGGTTTTAATAATTATCTAGATTTTTATTTCTATTTGCAAATTAATCTCTCGGATTTGTCTCCGAAATAATTCAGTTTTCGTATTTATAGAAAACTAAAAATTTAGAAAAATTCAAATTCAAAAAAATTATGATTTTTACTTTAGAAAATCTAAATCAGTAAGTAAATTTTAATTTTCAGTTTTAACTTTTAAATTTTAATGTCAATTAAAATTTTACAATTCCTAAATCAGAATTGCAACGCAACCTAGAAAACCTGAAAATGTCAGGGAATTTTATAAACCTTGGAAAAGTCAGGGAATTTTAAGCGGAATTCTGGAAAATTGTTGTTTTCTAAAGTTGTTGTGTTTATTCTTGAAATCTAATACAAAACCTTTAAATTTTTCTATTTCTGGCAATAATTTCTTTACAAATAACTAAAAAAATTTGAATTTTGGAGAAGTTATAAATTATTGCAATATTTGAATTTCTGATAATTTTCGATAATTTTAGATTTTTTACCAAAGGGTGGAGACTATCAAATAAGTAAAGTATTTTTGAAGAGCACAAAAATAATGAAGCTAAATGCCATAAAAAAGAAGGAAAAATGTTGAATTTTAAGAACTTCGGTTTCAGAAATATTCAATTATTTTCAAAAGTAATAAAATTCTATGCAGAAATTCAATTATGTTTCAAATTTTTAAAAATTCTCGTCAAAATTTCAATTATTTTCAAAAAAAAAATAAAATTCTTCTCCGAAATTCAATTATTTTCAAGAATTTTAATAAAATTATTTCCAACATTTCAATTATTTAAATAAAATTTTAATAAAATTCTGCGGAAACATTTAATTATTTTGATAAATAATAAAAATTTGACAAGTATTCAATTATATACAAATTTTTTATAAATTTCTTCGCAATGATTCCATTATTTTCATAAATAATAAACTTTTTTTTACAAAGATTTAATTATTTTCATAAATAATAACATTCTTCGTAAGAATCCAATTATTTTTTAAAATCATTAATAAATCCTTCGAAACAATTCAATTATATTTATAAATAGTAAAATTCTTAGCAAAATATCAATTACATTTAAAACAATTTCTTAAAGGAATTCAATTTTTTTCTTAATTCATTATAAAAAATTCCAAAAGAATTAAATTATTTAAAAAAATTTTAATAAATCCTTCAAAACAATATCAAGAAAGAATTAAATTTTTTTCTTAATTCGTTATAAAATATTTCAAAAGAATTCAATTTTTTTCTAAAATTTTAATAAATGTTAATAATAAAATGTTTAACTTCAATTATTAACAGGCACGATTATTTTAAAAACTTGAAAGAAATTATTCATAAAATTCAATTATTTTCAAAATTTTCAATTAAAAGTATTAAAGAAACTCCATTATTAAAAAAAAATTCAAAGAATTTATTTATATAGAATTTTCAAAAATTTTAACAAAATTCTTCGCGAGAATTCAATTATTTTCCTAAATAATGAAATTCTGCGAAGAAATTCAATCATTTTGAAATTTTTTGATAATATTCTTTGCAACAATTCGATGATTTTTTTTATGATTTTGAAAAAGTGTAATTGAATTTTTTTAAAAATAATTTGGAATTTTTTTTCTAATATGTTTATTTAATTGAAGAATTTTCGAGTAATCGAAATTTCGTGTAAAATTGAATTGTAAACAAATGAATACTTAATTGTTGTTAAATTTAAATTGTCAATTTTTTTCAGTGCTCGTACAGTTGCGGGTCATGAAGCAGCAAGACTGGGAAGTCAATTGGCAGCTAGTCAGAGGCAAAGAAGGGAAAGAGAAGCGGGTGTAATTTGTGAACCACGAGCTCGTAGTTACGATCATCAGAGACAGGAGAAACCCGAAAAAAGTAAGTCTTTCATTTGCAAAATCTAAAAAAAGAATATAAAATATAAAAAAAGAAAAATAATGAAATTCTTACAAATTAGCCACAATATTTCCTCTCTATCAAATATGTAAATATTCCATTAAAAAATGAAGGAATTCGATTTTTATCAAAGGATAAAAATTGATAATATAATTTCTGACCCTTTCCCCATTAATCCCCCAAAAGAAAAAATAATTAATTCCCACTTTTTCCACATAGATGCATTAAATAAAAAAAAGCATGCGTAAAACTTGAGAATGGGGATGTCCTTTTAATTTTACTTTTTTTACACTTTCTTTTCCGATTGCATGCTGTATCTTTTTTTTCCTTTCTTTTTTCTTTTCGGGATTATAATATTGGGTTTTCTTTTTGTCACAAAACATTTAATAATTTCGATTGTTAACTGAAAAAATGGCTCTACATCTCGTAAAATTATTTTCAACTAATATTCCCATTTATCCCAGAAATAAATTTTTCATTATATTAATTAATTAATTAATTAATTAATTAATTAATTAATTAATAATTAATAATAATTGTTCGTCTCTATTTTTTACTACTGACACCCACAGACAAATTCATTTTTATTCTCTTTTCAAAAATTATTCCAAATTACTTGATTACATTTTTATAATTAAATTTTTTCAATTAATATTTTTTTTCTCTTTGTTAATATTTTTTAATCGTGCAATATTCAGATTTTTACATATTGTTTCTATTTAATTTTTTCTAATGCTACGTATTTTTTTTAATGAAGTTTTAAATTTTAATTACTGTTTATTTTTTTTCTAAATTATTTTTGGATTTCAATTTTTCTGTAACTAAAGGAGAATGTGTGTGTTTTTTTTATTTCTAATTTTCGATGTCTTATCTGTGAAATTGTCAAGGGCATGGCTCGCGAAATAATTGAAAATAACTGTTGAAAAAAATAAACAAAAAAACATTAGTGTCAATGCTGAATGATTATTGAAAATGTCTGCATAACAAAGTGTCAAAATGTTTTGTGTTTTCGTGTCTTTTCTTGTAGCTGCGGACAAGCTGCAGTATCAGAGCTTGGACGCGGTCAATAAAGAAGGTATGTCCCTCTGTTCATTTCTCGAAATAGAAAAACATTTTCTTTTCAATTATATTCGAAATTAAAAAACATAATTTTCGAAATGAAAAAAAATTCCATTTCTCTAAAAAATTTTCCCATGTTTCGAAATTAAACCAAAAAATTTCCATTTCTCTAAAAATTTTTCCAATTTTCGAAAATAAAAATTTTTTTACAATTCTTTTATTAAAAAAAAATTTTGTTACCGGTTTTTTTTTATTCGCTCCCCCAACTATTTGAAACGCTTTCGAAATCACACATTTTGCCATCAGAGAGCCATCTTTTCTCTTGGAGCAATTTTTTTCTCAAAATGACAAAAAAAAGAAAAAAAATTTTTTTTTTGAATACGTAGAAAAAACGTAGAAATGTCTTGCAATCTGCAACTGCACTGCGGACCTTTCTCTCTCTCAATTCACATTAATAGTTAGAATTTTTTTCACTCTCTCTAATTCGCAAAAATTCATTCTTCCCATATTATATTTTTTTTCTCCTCTTCTTTTTTTGGAAAAAGAAATTTAACAGCAGACTTGAAAAAAAAAGATAAAAAAAAATTTGAAACTAGAAAAGACAAAAAATATCCTTATTGTTGTTTTTTCTTTTGTAAAACTTGGCCTAAAAAAACATGTCTTGCTTAATTATGTTTGCGCATTTTGTACTTTTATATTTTTCTCTGAATTCTTTCTTTATTGTCAAAAAAGGACACATCTTTTGACGTCTCAAAATTTTTCCTGAAAATTTCTAAAAATTATTGTCCAAAATTATTTTTTTTCTTCAAAACAATTACTTTCAAAATTATTCTTGTCTGGAAAATAGTTTTCCAAAATTATTCCATTTTTTAAGGATAATTTTCCAAAATTGTTTCTTCAAAATAATTTAAAAAAAATTATTTTTCCTTTCCTGAAAATAATTTACTAAATTTATTCTCTTCTTCAAAATAATTTTTCAAAATTATTCTGTTTTGTTGAAATAATTTTGCAAAATTATTCTTTTCTCTTGAATTAATTTTTCATAATTATTCTCTTCTTGAAAATATTTTTCCAAATTTCTTATTTCATTCAAAATATAATTTTTTTTTCAAAATTATCCTTTTTTTCTTCAACATAATTTTACAAAATAATTCTTTTCTCCCTTTTAATTTTCTTTAAATCTAAAAAAAAATTTCCCCTCAAAATAATTCTTTTAATTTACAAAAGAAAAAAATTTCTCGAATATTCTTGAATGTTTTTTTTGTGATATTCTCCTTTTTTCTGAAATCTCTCTATACTTCACAGTAAACAAATCTCTCAGCATACAGACATTTTGAGACTGACAGAAATTTCAAGTGCGTGTTCAGAAAGAAAAAAAAAAAAACAATTTGCATTTAAATTGTTATAATTTATATTATTGTAATTAATAGAATATTGCTTAATTTTGTGTACAATGGAAAATCGAGTGTGGATGATCAACTGCAAAAGGCAGATCAGTTGAAATAACTCTTTGCTCTGTGATAGTTGTGCGTGTGGAAGCCAACTAATTTCAACGGACGATTGTTTGGATCACAAAAAAAAGAAAAAATTATAACATTCTGTGATCCATTCAGTCATCTTCCTAAATCCCTAATTTCCTGAAAATTTAGTATTTCCAGTTCGTTAAAAACAAAAAAAAATATATTTTTTCATTTTTCACATTTAACAAAAAGCATTTAATTCCCCATAATAATTGTTGAGTATTGCAACAATATTTTAGAATTAATTAAAATTATAATTATAATAATTATAATTATAATAATTATAATTATAATAATTATAATTATAATAAATTATAATTATAATTTTAAGCACACAAATGTCGTTCAATATTTTTTAATAGTAGCAACATTTTTTATTTTCAAAATATTCTTAGTCAATGTTTCGTATGAATTTTTTTCGATTAGAAAATTATTTTCATTCTTGCCCAGTTTATTATTTTTTCTCTATACCTCAAAAATGAGCTATGAATTCCAAATACAAAATTGGACTAAAAAAAGTATTCATTGTAAAATAAATTCAATTTAAAAAATTTTTCATTCTGGATTTAAATTTATAAAAATAAAAATCTTCTAAATCAAATAAGATGAGGAATTTCGAACTTTTCTTTTTATTTAAAGTCAAAGTACTTAAATATGAGGAAAAACAATTTGTGAAATTAATTTTTCTCCGCACATAAAACAAATTTAGGGGATTTGAATATTTTTGAATTTCTATTTTTAACACAATTTTCAACTTTTAACGAGTTTAATAATTATTAATTATATTAACTCAATTTAATTTACTCTTATTTTTTGCAGTAAAAATAATTCATATTTATTTTCTTCAAGAAAAAAAAACAATTCAACATTTTTACTTTTTTACAAAAAAAAAAAACTCAATTTGATCTTCTTTTACTTTTTTTAAGTAAAAATAATTCATAATTATTTTCTTCATGAAAAAACACAATTCATTATTTTTTTTACAATAAAAATAATTCACAATTTTAATTTTTGTTCAGAAAAAATAATTCAGTTTTTATTTTTTTTCAGTAAAAATAATTCACAATTTTTATTGTATTTCCAATAAAAATAATTCATATTTTTACTTAGAGTTTATTTTAGTATTTTTTATATTTTGGAAAAAATAGTATTCGAAAAAATTTGTTAATTTAATTTTGTCCAAGAAAATAAGAAATAAAAAAATTTAATTTAATTTTAAGATATTGGCAAGAATGATTAAAAGAAAAAAATTGTGTTAAACAGAAATTTTGAAGAAAATTCAAGTACTCCTGTTACCCATTACCATACACGTCAGTAATGTTTCAAAATTCCATTTTTCTCTACCTTTTTAGCTATGTTATTAATAGCATGGCTGCATCTGTGTTTTTTTGTGCTTCTATAATAGTTCCCAGATTATATAATAATTAACAGCTTTTTTACACCTGACACAATTCAAAAATTTAAACTATAATATATTTAGTGTCGATATCTTCTTCGTTCAATTTTCATTTTATTAAAAAATAATTATTATTCTTTGTATTTTTTTTTATTAATTTTTTGTAAATTTTAACTTTTCCAAAATTTACTCCACTAGGTAAGTAGTAAAATTTGAGTGTTGAATTCTGTGTAATTATTTTGTTGTTTCAATATTTTGTACATTATACAGTTGGCTTTTGCTGTATAAAAAATCGCTTTAAGGCAGACTAATTAATTGCCAAATAATTTATAATCTTATTGCACTGATAAAAAAAAATTAATTAAATTCATCAATTTTAAATTATTTCGAGACAAATAGATATAAAATTAGACTGTTTTAAACAATTTTGCTTTTTAAAATAATATTATTGTTTCAAAGTTGTGTTTAGGCAAAAATAATTTTTTTTAGTCAAAAATAATTTTTTTTAAGCAAAAAAAATTTTTATTTATGCAACTAAATTTATTTTATAGACTATCAAAAATTTAATTTTAATTTATTTCTCTCGCATTAGAGAATTAATTATTTTGCCAAGAAAAATAAAAATGTGTCAGTTTAAATATTATAATGTAGTAGTAAAAAACAGAGATTCAATTAGGTACATGATTGGTAATGTTTGGTGATGGGTTTTAACTAGTAATCTTTTTCTTTTCTTTTTCTTTCTACTCCCTTTTCCTTTTATCTCTTTTTGCAAAATCCAAAATTATCACTCTACTACACTCCCTGCGACATTGAAATTAAATTTCCAAAAAAATAATTGTAAAAAAAAAATAAAACCAAAAAAAAAATTGACAAAAAACCAACAACGAAAATGGACAACAAACCAAAATCAAAAATTGGCAAAAAACCAACAACGAGAATGGACAAACAATCAAAAACGAAACTGGACAAAAAACCAAAATCAAAAATTGACAAACAATCAAAAACGAAAACGGACAAAAAACTAAAATCAAAAACTGACTGAATACTAAAAAAAAATTTCTCTCAAAGCTGAATCACCTTGCAGTCCAAGTGTGCCAAAATATCTCGGAAAGCCAGTGTTTCTAGCACACTCAGTCAGCTCTCCCGACTTGCCCATCCCAATTCTAGAAGTGCCCAATGATCCACCAAGTCCCATTATAACTTTGCACAGCACTCCTTTAGCTTCACCCAATACAAATATATCTTCAGCTGACGATATTTACGAATCGATTATTCTCAATGACACCTATGATCTCACAGCTCAATATTTATTGCCCAAGAAATACGGTCGATCACACTCGGAAATGATTCTGCCAAACATTGAAGTCACTGGTGAGTTTAAACCATCTCCCAAATCCGGAGATGCTGAACAATTAAATCCTCAAAAATCTCCACCAGAATCACTTATTGTTTTCTCGAAATCTCAATGTTTAACCGAACCTCAACGACTAACCGACGAAACTCTTTTTGAAATCTTAAACCTAACAGATTTAAATGTTTTGGAAAAGCGGAAAATAACAGATAAAAATGTTCCAGAAATCGCAAACCTAACAGAACATGTTGTTTCAGAAGACCCAATCCTAATAAAACAAAAAATTGTTTCAGAAAACCCAAACCTAACAGATAAAACTGTTTCGAAAATCGTACATCTAACAGATCTAAATGTTTCAGAAACACCGAACCTAACAGAAAAAATTGTTTCAGAAATCGCAAACCTAACAGAACATGTTGTTTCAGAAGACCCAATCCTAATAAAACAAAAAATTGTTTCAGAAAACCCAAACCTAACAGATAAAACTGTTTCAAAAATCGTACATCTAACAGACCTAAATGTTTTAGAAACACCGAACCTAACAGACAAGAATACTCCAGAAATGGCAAACCTAACAGAACAAATTGTTTCAAAAACCCCAAACCTAGATCTTGTTTCTAAAAACCCAAATCTAACAGATGAAACTGTTTCAATAACCGTAACCCCAACAGATGTTTGCGAAAGACCAAACCCAACAATCGAAACTTTTCTAGAAACCGCACCAGCATCATTAAATGAAAAATCATCAGTAGAACTCGAATTTTTATCCACCAAGTCTAACCCAATAATAAAAAGATCCCGTTCGCCCTTTCTCGAAGTCGACAATAATCGAAGAACCCAAAGTAAAAGATCACGTTCCCTCTCGCCATGCCCACCAAATTGTTTGTGCTATAACTGCAATGTCTCAAAACTAATAAAACAAAGTCTCGATCTCTCGCCATCTGAAAAATCAAATTTCAATACCTATTTTATCAGATCATTGTCGCACAAATTTTACAATTGCTCCTGTTATTCACTAGCATCATCCGAAAGAATTGACAATTTAAACTTTCAAGCGAGAATTTGCCACCAAAAATTGTCTGATGAAAATAGAAAATCCAGTTCTGAAAGGATTAGAGATTGTAGGTCTTTAGCTGTATCTAATTTACGACAGAAGAATGGTAAAGAGTTTAAAGAAAATAGTGGAGAGTGTAAAGAAATTAGTGGAGAAAGTAGAGAAAATATTTTTGAAGTGCATCAGAGTTTTGAGAGAGTGACTAATGGCAGACCGGACACTATAATAAATTTATTAAAATTCAAAATCAGAAAATCAATGTCATGTCCAATTTTGGGAGTTGATAGTACTAATAACACGGCTTTAAATTCTTGTATCCTCTATTCCAGTTATTCTCTAGATTCTTTGCATCCATTGTGCCACAATTGTTCCCATTTCTATCACAATAATGCTCATAGCTCATTAGATTTAGAAGTAGATAATAAACAGTTTGGCTTCAACAATTGTACTGCGCATTGTAACCAAAATTATTATCATAATTCTCATCCTAATTGTCAACTATATCATAATTATCATCCTAATTGTCAATCTTATCAAAATTATCATCCTAATTGTCATCCTAATTGTCATCTCTATTGTCAACCTTATAATCGACCCTATAATTGTCGTCATTATCATCATAATCATCAGCATTGTCATTGTTATGGTTATTTAAAAAATCATTGTTCCAAAAATCCGAAAATGACTCCCATCCCAAAACTCCAGCATCAGAGGTCCTTCTCATCTCCAGACACTCGACCTTCAATCATTGAACCTGACCCTACCTGCACAGCAAGGCGCCACCGTCACAGTATCTCTGGACAGATGAGTTATTTCAAGCTGTTGGGGTACAACGTTAGTAAGAAACTCACTGGGTCAGCCAACAGTCTATTCAGCACTGCTGTGATTAGCGGTTCGTCGAGTGCTCCAAATCTCAAGGATATGATACCAGCGCATGCTTCTGCTGTTGCCGGTGAGTTGTTTTTTTCGTTGTCAGTAAATAATTATAAATGCTGTACGGAAAGACTTTTGCCTAAAGAAGCAAACTATTATCTATTTAGCAACAAAAGTTTTTCTGCAGCAAAGACCAAAAAATGTTGGTGCTAAAGAAGTACTTGTAGTATACTTCTACATGTACCTCTTTAGCACCAATATTTTTTTGCCTTTGCACTATATTGCAAACAAAACAATTTGCCCCTTTAGCAGAAAAATTCTTTGGTCTTTGCACCATTGCAAACAAAAACATTTGCCTCTTTAGCACAAAAATTTTTTGGCCTTTGACCCAATAACTTGGAATAGCAGACATACCAATTTTGGAACAACAGACGCATCAAGAGTGGTATCTACAGAACTGTTGGTGCACTATAGAGATTCCAGAATCGGCACATTAGTTGTACCAAGACAATAGTACAAGTTCTGATATGGTACAACCGGAAACAAATATTATTCTATACAACTAATGAGGAATGGACCCTAATTTTGAAACCAGAGGCAAACAACTTGTGTTGTTGTGCATCAGAAATTTTAAATTCCTGCATACAATTATTTTTTCCCTTCATAAGTAAATGCTTCGAATTATTTTGGCCCTAAAGAAGTAAATGCTTCTAATTATTTTGTCCCTAAAGAAGTAAATGCTTCTAATTATTTTTCGCTACAAATTTCGGAAAAAGTAAAATAATTTCTATTAGGTCCAAAGGGCAATTAATCAAAAGTAACATTGTATTTTCAGCTATAGAAGGATTCGGTGGAGTGCCACCAATAAGATCACTGGAAACCCTTCACAATGCCCTGTCACTAAGACAATTGGACGGATTTTTGGAAATAATGACGAGCGCACCTTTATTCCGTACTCCAGCATCGTCACCACCGAAAATACCCTCACCCGGTGGAACAATAAATCAATCAATGATTCCTCATCTCAACATTCGAGATATCAATCGCGAGTACCACTCTTCCGACTCGGAAGCTGTCAGGTACCGTAAGATATTTAAGCAAATTAATCAGTGAGTATCTCTAGCTCTCCTCTATTTTCTTCTTCTTCTTCTTTCTACTAATATTATGATTTCTCCTATTTTCGCACCTAATGCACTTTTTTTGTTTTCCCTTCATTCAGATTTATGTATTTTTCAGTTCTATAATCCAAAAGAAAGGTAAAATATACCATTTTTTATGTTGCCAAATTTTTCTTTAGTTTCCTGTTCCGTAAATAATGAAAATTGAATTCATTAGAATATAATACTGAGGGAAATTGTTTGTTTGATAGATACATAACACCGTCGCCACTACAATATAAAACAGAAACTGATAACGACACTATTGATATCAGAAGTCAGATCTCGCCAACAAGTCCAAACAGTAAGTGGATTTTGATTACGTAAAAACGTCACCTATTGTCTGCCGTGTGTGTTATCATAAAAATCAAAACAAGTTTTCTATTTCGTTTCCTTTATTAAAATTTTTCTTTTGTTTAAATTATCGTTTCGCATAGGCGCTGGTTGGAGTAGTGAACCACAATCATTTTTATCCTCTGAACCTTCGTCTCCAGCTCCAACGTCCGCTGGAGAGAGCAGCATGTCAATCAGTCTAATCAGCATCGATGGGTAAATAAAGAAAAAGAAAAGAAGGTATTTTTTTTTTATTTACAAATGTAAATAAAATGATTTTTGTACTTTTAGAAATCAATCACAAAATGCAGGAGCGAAATTTACAGCGCCTCGTCTCGACCTTGATTTTCATGATTTTTGCGTGACAATCGATAAGGATAATCGAGAGAGTAGAGGTAGTGTCTCTTACACTGATTACTACAGCAATGAAGACGGACAAATTCGAAGAAGTGGAAACGGAAGTACTTTTCCACATATACAAGCTCCAGTTTGTACTGATGATTTAACTGATAACAACGAATGCTTAGACGACGAAGAAGATTACACATTAACGTTAAGGCAGAGCGAGGAGCAAAAGAAACAGGATCTCAAGTCGATTTTTGAACAAACGGAAAATACCAATAAGTCGAGTAATTTCAAAAGAATCGGAAGGTACAATTATTTATCATTTCCTATTTTTTACATTCGTTTTCTTTTCCCCAAAAAAATAATAAGGAAACTGATAACCACTCAGGCTTCGAACTCATCTACTAAAATTTTTTACCACTTTTTTTCACGATTTACTACTATTTAGATCCTTTTTTTTTTGTAGATTTGACACTAAAAGCTACTTTTATGTTTGAAAATTTGCCCTACAGTGAAACCTGTGGAAAAGCAACTTAATTTTTTAAAAGTTCATTACAGTAAAAAAATCATTAAAAAATTGTTTTATAATTAAATTTTGTAATATTTTTCCTTTTTACAATCTGGAACTAAGTGAAAATAATTCTTGTTGAACATTTTTGAATTCTTGGAAACAATTCTAAAAAATTTTAAGAAAATTCTTTTATAAACAATTCAATTATTTTCAAAAATGTTTCGAAATTCAATTTTCAATATCTACTATTTAAAAAAAAAATCCCTAAATTTAAAATTTAAAAAAATTTTCTATAAAAATCTTTGTGAACATTCAATTATTTTCATAAATAATAAAATTTTCACACAAGTTCAATTATTTAATACACAATTTTCATAAAATTTATCGAAAAAAATCAATTATTTAAAAAGATTTCTTCAAATTTTCCCCAAGAATTCAAATTATTTCTATAAATAATGAACATCTCTAGAATTAAATTTTATTTATAAATATTTTAATAAAATTTGTTGCGAAAATTCAATTCTTTTCATAAATAATACAATTTTCACAAGAGTTCAATTATTTAATACACAATTTTCATAAAGTTTTGCGAAAAAAATCAATTATTTAAAAAGATTTCTTCAAATTTTTCCCAAGAATTCAATTATTTCTATATAAATAATGAAATACCCTTTTTTAAGAAATAATTTCAATACAATTTTCAATAAATTCCTCGAAAAATGCAATTAAAGATAATTCTTCGAAAGATTTCAATTATTTAAACAATTCTGATATAATTTGTTTTTTTAGAATTTATTATTTTCAATACATTTTTAATTAAATTTCTTAAAAGAATATATTTTCAAAAATTTTAAAGAAAGTCTTCTTAAAAATTTAATTATTTTCAAAAGGGTTTCGAAATTCAATTATTTTCAATTTCTACTATTTTAATACATTTTCCTGCAAAAGAATTCAAATATTACAAAAAATTTTTTATAAAATTCTTTACAAACTACAAACATTCAATTATTTTTATGAATAATAATATTTTCACTGGAGTTCAATTATTTAAAACACAAAATCTTCGCATGAATTCAATTATTATTTTTATAAATAAAATATAATTCTTTTTAAAGAATTCAATTATTTTCAGTACAATTTTAATAAAATTCTTCGTAACGATTCAATTACTTTCGAAAAATTTTAATAAAATTCTAAGTAAACTTGAATTTAAAAATTTTTCAAAATTGCAATTATTTTCAATATTTACTAATTTCAATAAAATTTCCCAAAAGAATTCAATTATTTAAAACAAAATTTAACAAAATTCGTCACAAGAATTTAATTATTTTCGTAAGTTATAAAATTCTTTGGAAAAATTCAATTATTCTCAATACAATATTTGAATCAAAATTTCTTGATCGAATTTAATTATTATTAAAAATTTTAACAAAATTTGTTGATGGAATTCACTTATTTTTAAAAACTGTGATAAACTCTTTAGAAGAATTCAATTATTTTTATTACAAATAATTGAATTTGTATCTTTACAAATTTTAATTTTTTTATTATTATTTTTAACTATTATTTTCATAAATAATAAAATTTTGACAGAAATTCAATTATTCAATTAATTTAATTTTGTTTAATTTCAATTATTTTTAATACAATTTGAAATAAATTCTTCAAAAAATGCAATTATTTTTGAAAATGTTATTCAATTATTGAATAAATAATTTATTTTTGTTTTTAAATAATTGAATTCTCGTAGAACTGTCTAATAAGAATTGATTTAAAATTGAATTTCAGTTAAGATTTGAGAACTGCTGCAGAGAAATGAGTAAAATTATTAAATACATATTTTAGAGAATTATTTAATTTTTATTTGAGAATTCTAAAAATATTACTATTTTGAAAAATTGAACTGAATTCAATTTAGTTAAAAAAAACGTCGACTGATTAAAATTTCGTAAAGTTGTATTCAAAATAATTGAATTTTTTAAAAGAATTTTATGAAAGTTTATGAAAATAATTAAATTTTCGCAAAACTTAATAAAAATTATTCAAAATAATAATTCCAAAAAACTATTATTATTTATTATTATTGGAGAATTCTAAAAAAAATTAACTTTTTGAAAAATTGAATTCAAAATTTTTGTAAGAGTTGAATTTTTGAATGAGCAGAATTGAAAATTTTTCGATTAATAGAATTTTTGTTGAACATGACGTTTTGAAAGTATTTGAAAGAATTGATTTTTTTAAAGAATTTTATTACAAATCATTTAAAAATATTGGATTTGTCGAAGAATATTCTCAAAATGATGAAAAATAATTGATATTCAGAAGGTTTTTAAATTTATTTAAATTTCCCGAAATTTGAAATCCTCGGGAAAAATTATATTAACGATTGAATATTTATTGCAAATAAATTATTGATGTTTTGTATAATTTTTACAATTCAAAATGTTGTCAAATAAATTTAGTCTTAACATTTTTTACGTATCTAATTATTTTTGGAGTGAACTTTGCTTTTTTTTTAATTTTCTAGTGAATTCTTCAGCTTTGGGAAAAAAGTAAAAATTCTATCTGGAAATCAGAAAAAAATAAAAATTTCTGTAAACGAATCTGAAAAAAATTGAATTATTTTTCACTCTAAATGTGAAATTCTCTTTTTTCTTTTTTAAGGTTTCGAGTCGAAAGTATGGATATAACAGACGAGGACGTTAGAATAAAAGAATCGTGTTCCCTAAGTTCGAGTTACACTTCCGACAAAAGTAAAACGAATTTTCTCCAACGATCCGAATCTGAGGTTTGTGATAAAAATCTATCATCATCATCATCTGATTATAAAAAGGACACGTCATTTTTGAAAAGTCTTCGCAATATCGGCAGCGCGTCCACTTCAGCAAAGAAGAAACAATTTTTACGTTCACAAAGTGTTTCGAATCCAAAATTTGAAAGTTCAAAACAAGATTCACGACTCTCTCAACAGAGTTCATTTTCAACACTGACGAGTGAAGATTTACAAAATTGGAAATCATCTTCCAAAAAAGATTCCTCATCACCAATTTCTTCCTCGAGCGTTCAAAAGGAACAACCAGTCTTAACGTTAGCTAGCAGTTTGAAGGACAATTCCAATATAACAGTAGGATTTACCGTTCAAGATGACAAAAAAGAGTAAATTGCGCTTTATTGAAAAAAAAGAATTAGAAAAAAACATTTTTTTTCAGTTCAAGATATTTTAAATTTATCGTGTTTTTTAGGAAATTTTTTAATAGTTTAAATTCTTCAAATTTTTGCATAATAAATGAGCATAGTTAACAATGAGGAATTGAATTTTATTAAGTTTTACTGAGATAGTTCTGATTCCTTTAGGGGCGTGTTGACTTTTCAAGTTTGGCGTTTCTCATTTTTGAGATTGGAATATTCATTTTATTAATTACGTTAATTTATAAATTAAATAAAAATTTGGATTTTAAAATTTTCACACACAGAAAACTTTCTTTTCAAAATTTACTACGAGAAAAAAATTCTTTCCGTATAATTGAAAAAAAATGCAAAAAACGAAGAACGTTTTTTTTTTCTTAAAATTTAATTTTGAAAAAATGATTTAATATTTTTATTAAATATTTAAGGGGAAATTATAATTATTCTTATAATTTTGACAATCGAAAAATAATTATCGTTTCTTCTCACTGCGTTTTTTTACCAATAAGGCAAAAAAATATTAAGTAATTTTACTGTTTACAAAGTAAAATCTGAACTATCTTTAATTTTTCTACATTTTCTGAGAATTTTTACTACTTGAGGAGGAAATTTGAATATTTGAAGTTAATTTTTTTGATTTCGATGTTAATTTAATTGTATTTGAAGCCAATTTTCATACAGAACTTAGTAAAATTTAATCTGAACCTAAGAAAATTTATTCAAACGTAAATTTCACTATTTTTGAATTAAATTTGAGAATGAAAATTAGTAAAATTTATTTTCGAAGTAAATTCGAATAAAAAAATTAGTAAAATTTATTTCGAAGTAAATTTGAATAAAAAAAATAGTTAAATTTATTCCTTAGTAAATTTTGCTATTTTTAAAGTAAATTTTCAGAATTAAAATTAGTAAAATTTGTTTCCAAAGTAAATTCGAATAAAAAAATAATAAAAATTAATTTTAAGTAAATTTGAACAAAAAAAAATAGTAAATTTTATTTCGGACACAGTAAAATTTATTCTAAAATGAATTTTACAATTTTTGAAGTAAAACATAAAAATCAGCTAAAATTTCTTTCGAAAACAGTACAAATTTCTCAAAAAATGCTCCGAAATTCCAAATATTTTAAATTTTTTATTCAAACATTTAAAACTACTCCAAATTTTTTTTTCTTTTACTTTTTTCTTCCGTCTACTTTTTAATTAATTGACGTTCACGCCTTTAGGGAAAAATAAAGAACAACAATGAGACAGAAAAAAAAATTGTATAATAAAAATATTTGCTTGGTGCTTTAAACTATGTAAAAAGAAAACATTCCTAGAAATGTATAATGTATTATTTTTTATATTCGTATCAGTCGTAGGTAATTTTGCGCATGAAAAATTAACACGAAAACAAGAGAAATAGTATTACGTATAAATATATTTTGTAAGTATATGGTTGTAAAAACGATTTCCTGTGTCAATTATAATAGAGGCTAGTTTTCAATTTAATTATTTTTTTCAAACAAAACTCATCAGACGAAAATAATTTGTAGAAAATTGTTTTTTTTCCTTCTTTTGAATTGGATTTGTTTTCCTTTTACGAATCGTCCGTTTTTAATCAACTTACCTAGATAGTTTAAATATAGAAACAAAAATAGAAAAAATTTAATGTTGACACAAAAACTTATATAACAGTAAATTTGCGGTATTTATTCTTATTAAAAAAAAGATCTCACAGATTTGCAATTTTTTTCTTTTGATATAGAGTGAGAAGAACGTGGGTAAAATTTACATCCTTTATGATCCAACGATTGCAAGAAAAAAAATATTTTTCTACTCATATTTGTTTGGAAATTTTTATTTTTTAAATTGTTGATAAAGAAATATTGTTACAAACATTTTTTTATTAAAAATTTTATTACGAAGTAAATTTCACTATTTTTTAAGTCAATTTTAGTAAAAAAAAAAATTAATAAAATTTATTTCGAAGTAAATTTTAATAAAAAAAAATTGTAAAATTTATTCCAAACTAAATTTTAGGGGAATTAAATCGTTAAATTTATTTTAGTCGTCGTAAAATTTATTGCGAGGTAAATTTTCACTTTTTTTAAATCAATTTTAGTAAAAAAAAAAAATTAAAATTTATTTTGAAATAAATTTGAATAAAAAAAATTGTAAAATTTATTACAAATTTAGTAAAATTTATTCTCAAGTAACTTTTACTGATTTTTAAAGTTTAATTTTAGTAAAAAAAAAAATTATTAAATTTATTTCGAAGTAAATTCAACTATGTATTTTGGAATTTACTTTTAATAAAATGAAATTTGTAAAACGTTTTTAACTGTAAATTGTAAATTAGAAAAAGAATTCTTAGAGAAAAATATTTTTTTTGCACATTTTTTTTTTACAAATCAATATTTTTTGTTTACAAATATTTTTTTAATTGTTGATAAAGAAATATTATCACGAAAATTTGTCAGCACAAAATTTGAATAGAAACAAAATTTTTTTTCAAACATTCGTTTATTGTAAATGCTGTCAACTTTACCAACGTTGTGAAAAAATTGCCGAACATTAAAAAAGCGACTAAAATTTGTTAAAGTGAAAAAAGAAAAGTAGAAAACCAAAAAAAAAAAAATAACCGCAAGTCATTTAGTTTCCACTGAACGAAATGAAGTGAAGATAATATTCAGAGGGATGAAAAAAAAATAAAAAATTGAAATTTCCAGTGTCATAGTTCATTGAATGTAACAAATTTAGAGTAATAAGCGTCGAGAGATTTGGGACAGTCGAAAAGCCATATTTAATGCTACTAAACCCCAAAATATATATAGCAAAAAAGAGAGAGAGAGATACATAATATCGTCAACGATTAGACAAGGCGTGACCCCGTTGCGGCATCAAAAACTTAGGGTTGAAGTATTGTTCGAAGCGCATCAGAATTAGATCAAGTGAACACGTGTGCACTTCTTGCAATATAAACTCTCTCTCTCTTCTCTTCTCCCCCTTCCCTTATCCCATATTATGTCAATCCCTCTGCTAATTCGTTTTGTTTGAAAAAATAAGAGTATTTTTCCCCAAAAAATTGCGAAATCTGAATAAATTTGTCAATTGTCAGGATAATTGATCGTTGCCAGCCATATGCAGGTGCAGAGAGAGACGCTTAAATATATTGAGAAAAAAAAATGTATACAGAAGCTTGTATTTTTCTAGAGTTGTACTTATACGAGGCATAAAGAAAAAAAGATTTATCTTATTGTAAATATAAATAATTTTTTTGTCAGGCAAATAATTATAACAGGTGTATAATTATTAGTGCGACATTGTACTTATGTAATATTCTCTTATTTTTTTTTTCATTCTTGGTAAACGTCGATTTATAACTAACGATTGGTATGTTTTTAGAATTTTATAAATTCTTTTTTAGATGCGAGAAATAATTTTTTAATTACGATTTATTTTTTTTTCCTTAATTTTCCTTAATTTAAATCATAAAATTAGAAATTTTTATTATTGCCTCAAGATTTGCGAATAATTTGAAATATTACATAAATTAAATTAATAATTAGTTAATGAAATTTTTAATAAGTGAATTAATTAAGAATTAATAATTAAATTAAAATTTATTAAAATTAAATTAATTATATGGAAAAAAACCCAATTTTTCGCGCTGTAAAATAATGAATAAAACTTTGTTGTAAAATTCTAGGGTATAATTAAAATAGGAAAAAAAAATAAAGTACAAAAGTAGGAAAATTTTTTTGATCTACAAAAACACTGGGTAATTTTAAGAAAACTAGTTGAGTTAATTAGTAGTTAATTAGTAGGTAATAATAATCGATTAAAAAAAAGTAGAGAAAAATAAGTTTTAAATTATTAGACAATAAATTCGAATGAAATTGAAAATAAAATCAAAATCAAATAAATTCTTGCATCTAAAAAGGAAATAAATTGCGCTCAAGAATAAAATGCCTAAGACGTATTAAGCGCCACGTTACTTAAAGAATTTTCTTTTTCAATTACTAAGAAGAAAATCGTTAGTTACTTGAATCAACGTCTATCAAAAATTATAGCGTTATAAATATTAAAGAAAATTTTTGAAAAGAAACAACTTTCTTGTCATTTACTCCTCTCTCGTGAAAAAATTCACTTGTCAACATTTTTATTTAAAATTGAATTTACTATTTATTATTATTTTCATTTATGAATAATAATATCAATTTATTTATTAATATTAATAACAATTTATTTATTAATATTAATAACAATTTATTTATTAATATTAATATCAACTTATTCATTAAATTAAAAAAGAAAAAATAATTTATTTTCTTTATAATTTTGGAGAAAAAAAATTTTTTAATTATCATTCTATCCTTGCGAGGAAAAACTTCGAATTTTCAATTAGAGAAGACAAAAAATGTAAAAATGAAAAAATTAAAAAAAAAAAAAATGAAAAAAATTGTTAGAGTGAAAAATTTTCCAAAACAAAACGCGAAAAGTAACAAATTTTCTATAATAAAAGAGTAAGAATAGAAAAGTAATAAAATTTACAAAATGAACGGCAAAAGAAGTAAAAATAGAAAATCTAAAAAATAGAAAACATACATTAGAAAAATAAAATATTGTTTTAAAATACAAAAGTGAAAAAAGTAAGAATGAATAAATTTACAAAATAAAAAGCAAAAAATAGAAATAATAAAATTTTCCAAAATAAAAAGTGAAACATTTTCTAAAATAAAAGGAAATGAATTTTCAAGAAGAAAAAAAATTGCAGATCAAGCAAAAGATGTAAAATTTGCAAAATTCTGAAAAGCAAAGTAAAGTATGAATTTAAAAAATTTCCAGAATAAATGAAAAAATTGTAAAATTTAAAATTTTTCAAAAATAAAATTCGAAAGATAGAAAAATTTGAAAAATTATCCAAAATAAAATTCGAAAATAATGGAGAAAATGGAAAAAGTTTCGAAAACAAATAAAAATGAAAAATTTCAACTCCCCAAAACAAAAAGAGGAAGAGAAAGTAAAAATGAAATATTTCCACAAAACAAAAGATAAAAAGAAATATTTTTGCTGAAAGAAAGGGATAACTTGCGAGAGTTGGAGCGCCGACGCCTACGTGCATTGATCGAGAGCGTCAGCTTGCAGTTATTACTGTTCGCTTATATTACTATATCGAAATGGACAGAAACCACGGAAATTCACAGAGACCCCCGAGAGATTTCTACAAAATTCAAATTGAAAATGTCAACATCAAAAGTTAATTTAAAAAAGAAAAACACGGAAGAAAAATCATTTTAATTCCATATTTTTTTCTCCCTAAAAAGAAAAAACTACCAAAAACGAAATTT